GGGGAGGTGATCACTGATCAGATAGGCAAAATAGATTAATTCCTTAAATTGAACTATTTAATCTACAATTTTTAAGAGAATAAATAAAGAAGCAGGCCTCGACTCGTGTAAGTAGATATTGATTCCATAAAAGATAAAACTAGGTTGCTCTTCAACCATTTGGCTGAGTACTGTGTATTCAATTCAAAGCATGAATGGATCCAATGATACTGACAAATGACAATGGCATCGTCGTTGTTGTCTTCATCAACATCATCCTAACCACATAATATATAATAGTAAGTTGGAATCATTTAGATGCTCCTGAAAAATTAATCACTTTGAATCATACAGATTCTTCTCCAAGACCAAAAATGAAACGAACTCATGATCAGTACTCAGCGCAGCCGCTCCCATCATTCATGTCAATTGTCAGGCACCAAATTAATTACTTTGAATCTCTGCAAATGCCCCTCAGTCCCTCAGATTCTGGAGAGCGTTTTTGGAGAGGACCCAAACAGCACAAATTCATATTTGACTCTTTCTTCAGAAGTTCAGAGTGGTTCTTAATTGGCAGTCATTCCATATTCGTGGATGAATACTTCAACACTAGACAAGCAAGCATGTGAACAATGTGCATCAGAAGAGAAGAAAATGAGTAGAACGAACAAAGCCCAGGTTCAGAGATCCAGAATCCCTTTAATTTCCCTAATTAAAGGACAAGTTGATGGTTGACTGATAGACGGTTCTTTGAATCTTTGAAACCACTTGTGCCTGCAGCCTGCTGCCCATCCCCTCATCACAAAATTGGTACGTGTTTTTGGAAGCAATCTCAGTTACTGGAATTGTAAGTGGCCCACTGGTTTTCAAGAAATCCCTTTTCATCGTTATCATCGTCATCATCATCGTTGTTGTTATTGTTGTTGTCAAAAGTAAAGGTAGAACCCAATTTATATGATCATTTGGGAGTAAGAGTGTCAATGGACTAGTTTTGGATTGGACCCCGTCCAGTACAAAATCAATTTGGATGGATTAGACGGACCAACAAGATATATTGGATTGGATCAGGTCTGTTCGTAATAAATTTATATTGGATTGGGTTGGATTAAGCCAATATCTAATCCATTGATATAAGATAAGAATATAGGTGTCAATGGACGAGGTTTGGGTTGAAACCAATCTAAATCAAAATAAATTTGAACAGATTGGATGGTCTAGACATTGAATTGGATCAGTCCAAAATTGTCCAAAAATTTTATTGGACTGGATTGGACCTGGTCCATTTATAATGGACTTACATTGGACTGGATCAGATTGGACCAAATCCAGTCCAAATGACACCCCTATTTGAGAGGGTTTTCATGCAACAGCTACTGGGCATTGCAAGGTATGACCAACTTTATATGCCCAAAAACACTTGCATTGAGCTGAGAAATCAACTATCCGATGAAACTAGTTTTGGTAGCTTCTTAGAAAAGGTTTAGTCAATGCAGCTTAATCAATGCTGAAGCCCTCCCAAATAGGCCCTATATGAGAGAGAGAGAGAGATAGAGAGAGAGAGAGCTGATTTGATGTAAGAGGAAGGTGGAGCAAATTTTGCATCAGCTTTTGAGATACAAAATTTAGTAATTTACACTCCTAATGAGTGCAAATGAGACAAAAACAAAAACAAAAAAAAGTATAAATTTTGTGTTAGGTAGGAGTGCAAGTTACAAATAAACAGATGCAAAACTGAATCAGGTGCAAATTTTGCATCTGATTCAGATTAATTTGCACTACACCAAATGCAACCTAAAAAGGATAAAGTCAAGCTTGTCTGTGGACTAGAATCCTCTTTATATAAAGCATCTTGTTGTTAAGAGGGTGATTTCTTATAAGTTCAATTATGACATCGGAAAGACATTATACCGAAAATTTTTACAGCAAATCAACCGATATCATAAAAGAGGGTGACCAATTGGGTGGTGTTCAACAAAATTCACAAGATACTTTGATTGCTCAAAACTCTTATGGTACCATCTTTTTCAGTTTCATAGTTTTTATTTAATAGATTGGAGAAAATAAGAAAACAAAAATTGACCATGAAAAGTAGCTCATTTACCTCAAGAGAAGAGTATCAAAAACTGCATTAACAATTAACCCTCTTTTAAATCCCAGATCCACGATAAGCCCTGGTTGTTGGCATGGTACACAGTTTCGATACGAATATAGTACAATACGTATTGGTTTTTTAAGTTGCCAATATGTCAAATGGTGAGAATTGATGGAAGTGCAAAAATAATAGTTTCAAACAAACATGCAAAATTGAATCGAGTGCAAAATTTTTAGCCGGTTCAGATTAATTTGCACTGCAACCAAAATACAAGGCTTTGCACTACATATTTATATTTGTATTTTTTTCAATCCAAGCCTAATGCTGTGTTTGGATGCAATGTAAATAAATTTATAGTTATACATTCAAAATTATGGCAGTGCAAATGATTTGATTGTAAACTCTGATCTTTTTTTGTTTTAAATTTTAGCTTATTTTGTAAATTAAGACATAGAGCATAATAAAGTAAAACCTAAAACAAAATTAAGTGAAAATTTACATTTTTTTCATCTGCACTTGCATTTGTACTAGTGCAAATAAAATTGCACTGCAACCAAACACAGCCTAAAAGAGCAAAATCAAATCTGTTTGTGGATTAAGATCCTCTTTATACAAACCATCTTAGGAGTAATTTCTTATTTAATCGATTAGAGTAAAAAAAAAAAAACATGTTTGAAACCAAAGACACCTCGGTGCTTCTTCTCCTGAGGAAGGTCTCCCTAAGTATATATTTTTGTATCTTTATATCCTTATGAATTGATTCTTTGCAGTTCTAACTTCTAACATCGAATTCTTCTCAAAAATTGACTTGCATAAAAAATCTCATTCTTTTTCTTGACGACTTCGACCAAACCAGATGATCCCTTGTTATCATAATTCATAACTTACTTCCATGGTTTTCAAAATCAGACCGGACCGGACAGTTGGACTGGAAAAACCGGGAACCGGTCACCTGACCGGTTTCGTTTTCCTTCAAAATCGTTTTTTCCCCTAAAACTGTTGATTTTGATCAGTAAACTGCTGAACCAGCTGGTTAATCATTCAAACGATTTTGACCGTTTTCCAATTTTTTAATTTTTTTGTCAGAACGGGCCAGCTGTTTGAGTCGAATGATCGAACCATTTGAACCGGTAACCGGACCCCTGACCAGTTCGGTCACCGGTTCGTTTTTAAAAACCATGCTTACTTCTGCAATTGAGTAATTTTCTTCAGCTTCTACATTCACGATCTTTTCCAAACCAACTAATTTGTCAATTTCATGAGTTTCATCCAAAGCGATCTCTTTGTCTCTTGAAACACAACCTTTTACAAACAAGTATGAGTGTATCAGCCGATGCACTTGATGGGAATAAATTTCGACCATTCCACTTGAGTTGCGAATCAGTAACCCTAAAAACCGATACCATTGATATGTATGTTCTTTTTTTTTTGTAGCCAAATAGTTTCTTTTTTTGTTTTCTCTAATAATATTTTTTATTATTAAATAAAAGCTAGAACCACTCAACAGGGTGCTTAAAATCACTCACTCACCAAACTTGGCAAAAGCTATACGAAACCAGTTACATTCCTTTAATTCATTCCTCCATATTTTTGCACTATAACATAGACACTATAAGGTTGGACTTGACCAACCCAAATAGAACTTAGAAAATTGAAAATTATAGAATTTCCGTTTCTAGTATCCTAAGGATTTCTATGCCAAACTACCTAAATGTGGTTTCCTCCTTGTTCATTGTTGTGATTTCTTGTTTGTCTCTGCAGTTGTTATTTCATTATATGGTTAAGGACTTCTGGTTTTTTTGGCTTCCGCTTATGCTCTCTAGGTAAACTAGACAGGACCAGATGGTCGGACCAGAAAAACCAGGACCGGTTCCGTTTTATCCCAGAACCACTTTTTAGCCAAAACCATTGATTTGGTCAGCAAATTATTGACCCAAGTGGTCAAACCGTCAACCTGCCAAGCCAGACAACGGTTTTTGGCCGTTTTTTACTTTTATATTACTTTTTATTTTTTGTCAGAATGGGCCATCTGTTCAGTTTGAACATTTGGACCATTCGACCCTGGAACCGGACCCAGAACGGTTTCCTGTCCGATTCAGTTTTAAAAACCTTGCTTTAAACAGCATTTACCAAAAAAAAAAAAACAAAACTTTAAACAGCATTACAGTGTAGAAACCCTTGCTATACCACTGCTGATATGCCCAGTTTCCAAAATCGCAATACACCAAAGGTCTAAAACAAAGATTATGGGTCGAATAAAATTATTTTGAAAAAATAAAAAACAAAAACAAAAAACATGGTTCAAAGTTCAAACCATCGATATGTATCATACCGTATCATACAATGTGTATCGGTTTACAGGGTCACCAAAACAATAAATACTGGAAGTTATGGCCTTTTAAATTTTAATAGGTTTAAATATTAAACATTGGGCTTTTCGCAAGATAAATGACCAAGTTTTCTCAATTAACAAAGTCGTTGATGTTTACAAAATCATGTTCAATTCGGTGAGTGGGAAAATTCCACAATTTTCTTTGACTAAATTGCCCTTTGCTAAAAAAGCATTGCTCTCCGCATGCTTATTTTTTACTTCTTTTCTTCCTACATTCCTCTCCTTTGACCTCTGTTATAGGAGAAAGAACACAGGTCGATTTTTTAGAGCAAAAGAAGGAAACTCTCTCTAAAAGGCTTTTGCCTTTTATATAGGGCCACTTTTGTATGAAAAAAAAGAAAATATTGATTTTTGTCCTGATCCCGATTACCTGTTTGGTCCTTATTTTGGAAACATAAGGGAACTTGACAAATTAGAAAACTCAAATCATTTATTTTGTAAAAAGTCCTTAAACATTAATGCACATCTTAATGTATCTACTTGCGATCTATGAATTTATCAAACTGAACAAGGAAAAAGGAAAAAGAGCATTGCACATTGAAAACTCTGGATCTCAAAATCCATCATTTAAGATTTCATCAACAAAAAGGAATTCAATTACAACATCAGAAACTATTGGCCCTTTCAACATGATGAAATAAAATGGAGGAAAAACGGAGGTTTTTCCAATCTAAAAGTGTATTGGCCCTTTCAACTTAATTTCATAAAATCTAAACTAAGATATCAAATATTGAGAAAATAATAGTGCATTACAATACAAGTATGTAGGCTATATGATAGAAGATGCGCAAAATTGTAATAAATATACAATGACAAACTGATGAGAAGAATTACAATGCTACTAGGTATTGTAATCTGTGTGGTGGAGAAAATGTTCATACCGAGTGTCTTTGAGTATCTTGTAAACATCCTCCCAATTGTCAACTTGCTCTGCTGGGGGTTTTGTATGAATTTTAACTTGCCGGCTCGTTAATCTTCTAATTGGAACTTTAAGAAACTCTTGAACATCAGCTAAGGCCTATTAACAATGATGTGAGTGACTGAGTGTAATCACCAGATAACAAATAAGCAAGAAAAAAAAATTATTGGCACTTACAGTTTTCACCCTATGGTTATTGATAAGATCTTCATAATACAGGATTATATGCCGAGTCCTATTGAAATATTGCAATGAATCTGCCATGATGCGTTCAGCATGACTAAGGTCAGGCAACAACCCAGTGACATTGATCGTTGGCTTGTATCGTGCCAGTATCTCAGCCTGAAACAAGTTATTGAACGAGTGCATCAGCATAAATAAAAATTAAAAATATAGATAAAAATAAAACCTCAATGGCAAAGATAACCTACAAGGAAGACAATAGTTAAACTTGATTTCTTTTACGAAAAAGATAAGATCCACCAATGATTGAAAGAGGATAAAAGCTACAAATGGATCAGCGAAAAGATTCTCAAGTAAGATGCTAAAGAGAACCCAAATCTATACCTCAAAGAGAACTGAACAAGAAAGGGGAAAACAGAAGGCTACAAAACATAAAGCTACCCAAGGAGAGAGGTACCCCAATTCAATTATTGCCTTGCTAACCCTCCCTAGAAAGGCAAGAATAAGGAGTTAGCTCGTTTACAGATCCAACTAAAACTCTACAAGCTAGATATCAGGCCTCCGTAACTGAATGTCCCAATCTCTAAGGCTCTACTATGTTTCCTCTCTAATGCAGGAATTGATAAAAAGAAAGACACCATGGAAGAGGATATCAAGTTTCTTTAAATTCTTATACCAATGGCAATTTTGTGGTTTTTAATTTAGTTACGGCTGCAACTTGGGTGGGCTTAGGTTGAGGCTTTGTTAAATTTTGAATGGACCCGTCCTGAAAGCCAAAACCGATGCAATGTAAAATCTTCAACTTGGATACCTGAGTTGGAGAAACTTTGGCTGTTTGGACCGTTTTTGGGCATGACACATCAATCCATTCAGTCCCCTAATTGTCTTCTTGGTCAAATAAATACTGAATGTATTACTCTTTTACTCCAAACCCATGGTAATGTGTCATGCCCGAGGACACTTCCAAACAGCAAAAGTTTTTCCGAGTTGCACCCATAGACTTATTTGAATTTTGTCAATTTGAATCTTTTAAGAGTTATTTTCTAATTTGTCAGTGTCATAGTAGTAGAGGAAATCATTTTATAGGGCCATAATAGTTTAAGTGTCTTTATAGAGAGTTTTTAAAATATGAACTATGGCTGTTATCAGTTGAACTTGGGTTTAATTCAGTGTTTTTCTTTTTCTAATTCACAGTTACAAGGATAAGATAACTTTTTTATCATTATTAGTAGGAGCAGTCTTGTAACTAAGTTTCTTATTCCATTACATGTACATATGAGGGAGGGCCAATGGCCCTCAGGTGCTATTTTGCAATTACAATCTTTTTCCTCTTTCTTTCTTATTCAATTCTCTCCTCTCTTCTGTTCTCTCCCTAAGGGGTTCTCTGCCAACTACTGGTGCCAGTTTTCTTTCTATCTAATCTTCAGGGGTCAAAACTTGTCCATTTTACCTGATTTTGGTGTCATCAGATATGTTATTCAGTTATCTATCCAATGAGACCAACATCTTGTAAGTTGTAAATCTGATTTATTCTGGGAGTGAAGGCTTTTTTTTTTATACATAGGTTAACAGTCTATGACAGGATTTCAATTTTCTGTTTTTTTAGATCACTCCTGGAGTTGTTTTTTGTGTTTTTTTTAGTTTTAGTAGAATAGGTAATGGGTTATTAAGTTGTTTCAGGAATTGGAGTCTTTATGGGTTATCTACAGGTTTTAGTTTAAAAGTATCTAGAAGTTTTATGGGTCAGTTTCCTAGTTCAGTTTGAAGTCTATAAAGGGAAATTTGAGCTCTTATGTTGAGTCTACAAATAGAGCCATTACAATTGCAAATTAAAAAAAGTTCATTTGATGAATAAAAGTTTCATTAAGGCTCTGTTCGCTTTTCGGTAAGTTACTTACCCAGGTAAATGTACTTACCCGGGTAAGTGTTTCCCAGGAAAGACTTACCCGGGTAAGTACATTTACCCATGTTCTTTTATTTCCCATGTAAATAAGGCAATGACCATTTTAGCCATAAAAAACCATTATTAAAAGGGGCATTTTTGTCCCATTCAAGTGTTGGCAATTTTCTCCCCAGGTGGGAAAATTACTTACCCACCTAGGAGATGGGTATCACTTACCCGGGTAAGTGATCCAAGAAAATAAACTTTCCCTGGCCCCTACATAAATCTAAAAAAAAGAACATGGGATTCTTGGTCAATGGGAATCAAAATCCCATTGACCAACTTTCCCCCCTCTCAATATCCAGAAAAAGAACGCCCCCTAAGTGGCTTCTGGATTTTTTAGATCAATAAGTAAATTCTGGTTGTCACCAGGTATTTTTTCTATTTTTAACCCCTCTCATTTATTTCTTCTTTTAAGAAATCTATCTCTTCACTGGTCACTAGAAACAAAAGTTCTTTTCTTCTCTACATCTCTAATCACCTAAGTTGTCTTCCTTCAACTTACAAAACTGACAACTGGATCTGAAAGTAATAGAATCCTACCTGTCATACATCAATCTAATTAAAGTCCTTTACTAGATCATCTAAAATCTAGGGATTATATAAACCTTGTCCTTGAAGAAGTTCCGCCATATTGACCCTATAGAGTCCCCCTCCCCAATTGACCCTAAGCACACCAGGAGAACCTCTCCTCTCCGGTACTTAAAGGCTCAACCAGTGCCCAAGGATCCCAGGTTCCTGAGTGAAAAATCCATCAGAATTGAGATCAATAATCATTGATGGGACATGGGCCTTCCACAACAATGAAAAGGAATAAGTTGCAAAGCCTACCAAGGAGTTGTAGGAGTCCACTAAAAAAAGGCTATTATTGTCAGCCTTCCAACATCTTGAATCCCCCTTCCCCACACAGATGGTAGATCACCTTAGGCATTCATGTAACAATATCTAGGTGTTAGCCTCCCAGCCATTAACACATGCGATATAGGCAAGGAGCTCATACCATTGAATAACTAATTAGATCGTAATAATCTTTTAGTATTGCAATTTTGGATGAATCCATGTTAAAAAGACTTGGGAACTCAAGAATTAAAGGGTGATCCCCAAACCAGAAATAGACTTTAGAGCCTTTGACGCAGCATGGAAGCAATGGAAATCGGAGCTGGCTATGCAAGCACCGGGCGATCGCTAGCTTCTAGCGAAGAACACCGAATTCTCTAGGAAAGAGAAAAGGTGGCGAAAACTCAAAGAAGAGAACTTGAAGAAATTTTGAAAATCTGAAGTATGAATTGATGATTAATTCTGGGAAAATAGCAGTATTTATAATACATTTAGAAATTGTAAAAGAACTAGGAAAGAACATGA